AAAAAGAAAAAGATTTCACGTTTTTTGTGATACTACCCTGGGACATTATTTCTAACTAAATATCATCTCCTTTTTTTATCTCTTTTTTTTTTAACCTTTATCTCCTTTTTACCCTTTGGGGTCCATTTGTTCAATAAAAATAAATGTATTTGAAAATAGAAAAAGAAATACAAAAGTCCGTTAAGGCTTAAAAAAAAAAGCCCCCCCATTTTCCCCAACTTCTCACCCCCTACAGAAAAACACACACACACGCACAAATACAATGCACATTTCTCACTCCACACACCAGAATCTCTGTATATATATACCCCACACCAAAAACTACATTCTCCATTCTTTCTCAGAGAACTTGCATACAGAAAAACAATGGCTTCTTCAATCCTTCGTTTATCGTCGCATTTGCTTCTCTTCGTTTTCGTTGTTTCTGCAACTGTTTCATTAGCAGCAGATTCGTTAGGAAGGAGAGATATTTCTTCGTTGATTTCCAATTACAGATTCCCCAAAACACAGGCTGAAAAACAGATTAGAGCACTCAATTTGTTTCCCAAGCATGAAGTGAATCATCACGCCGGCCTAAATTACAGCCTCGGTGCATCGCAAATCGTCGAGAAACGTCTGAAATTCCCCGTTTTGGGTGATTCGGGAACTTCTGTGCAGGACTTGGGTCACCATGCTGGTTATTATAAGCTTCCGCACACCAAAGATGCAAGGTATGTACTTCACTTGTATGTATATGTATATGTATATACACACACACACACGCACGAGAAGAATTTGGATTACTGTTTTTCACATTTTATGCGTGTGTGTGTGTGTTTGTTGTGGCAGAATCAATGATGGCTGTTGCTTAAAGTTTTAAATTGTTTTGATTGGTTGATTAAAGAGGTGGATATAATCAAATAATGTAATCTGTGAATGTTTTTTTGAAGCAGATATACTGTTTGATAAGTTGTCTGTATCAGATTAGGCGAAACTGATGATTTGTTCTTGTACAAATTAAACATGACTTGGTGGAGTTCTAATAATGAATTAATAATCCATTTTTTTTATCATAAAAAAAATTGTTTTAAATTTTATAATTATTGCTGGATTAATAAGCTCCATCTCTGTTTTTTTTTTTTTAATTTCAAATGCTTTGATATAGTTTAATTAATTAATAAGTGCAATGTGTTTGCAGGATGTTCTACTTCTTCTTCGAATCGAGAAATAGCACAGCCGATCCTGTCGTTATATGGCTAACCGGTGGACCGGGTTGCAGTAGTGAATTGGCTTTATTTTACGAAAATGGCCCTTTTCATATAACAAGCAATCTCTCCCTAACATGGAACGATTTCGGATGGGATAAGGTAACTTATCTCGATTTTTCTCGACAAAAGGATATTTACTTTTTTCTTTTCAATTCACAAATCGCTGTATAACCACCGCTCGATCTTTTGGCAGGTATCGAATCTTATATAATGTTGGATCAGCCAACCGGAACAGGTTTCAGCTACAGTTCAGATGATGATGACCTTAGACACAATGAAGAGGGTGTTAGCAATGATCTATATGATTTCTTGCAGGTTGGTAATCATTAAGTAATTAATGATGCTGTATTTGATGCCATTAATGTAATAATAATAATGTGTCTGAAATGTTTGTAGGCCTTCTTCAAGGAGCACCCTCAGTACTTGAAGAACGATTTCTACATTACCGGAGAATCGTATGCTGGGCACTATATTCCGGCTTTTGCTTCTCGTGTTAATCAAGGGAACAAAAACAAAGAGGGGCTTCATATTAATCTAAAGGTATATTCCTTTTTTCTTTTCATTTCATAACAAGCCTTTGAATATCATTTTGTTATTTATATTGATTTTAATTAATATATATTCGTTTATTTTTCTCAGGGTTTCGCTATCGGGAACGGGCTTACAGATCCGGAGATACAGTACCCAGCATACATAGATTATGCTTTGGACAATAAACTCATTCAACGGTCCGATTACAATGGACTGAAGCAAGCAGTTTCGGACTGCCAACAAGCAATCAAGCTTTGTGGTATATATATAATTCGTAATTTTGAATTCTTAATTTCGAAGTCCACCCTCCAAATACCGATTCAAAAATAAAATCCTTTTGTTTTTTAAGGTGCTAATGGTGGATCTTCTTGTACATCGGCATACATGGCCTGTAACACCATCTTCAGCAGCATAGTCGAGCATTCCCGTGGTTTAAACGCAAGTTTAACTTTTTTTCTTTACATATTTTTACAGAGTAAAGAACATCGGAAATATTTTTATGTATTATTTGTTGATCTTACAAATGCAGTACTACGACATAAGAAAACAGTGTGAAGGTTCTCTATGCTATGATTTCTCAAACATGGAGAATTTTCTGAACCAAAAGTCGGTTAGAGAAGCACTTGGCGTAGGTGACATAGATTTTGTCTCGTGTAGTACAGCAGTTTACGAAGCTATGATCACAGATTGGATGAGAAATCTCGAAGTGGGAATTCCTTCACTTCTCGAAAACGGGATCGAAGTACTCATTTACGCAGGCGAATACGACCTCATATGCAATTGGCTCGGTAATATCTATATTCGAATCAAGAACTCACCCTTTTTTTTATTACCATTTTTCGAGTTTCTTGAATAATAATAAAAAAAATTGAATTTATGAAAAATAGGGAATTCAAGATGGGTTCATGCGATGGAATGGTCGGGGCAGAAGAAATTTGTGGCGGCTCCAACGGGCCCGTTTTTGGTGGACGGTGTAGAGGCTGGATTACAGAAGGGGAACGGGCCTTTGACTTTTCTGAAGGTACATAATGCAGGTCATATGGTACCTATGGATCAACCAAAAGCATCTTTGGAGATGCTTCAGAGATGGATGCAAGGGAAACTCACTCAAGGAGATGGTCATCTTGCTCCAATGTGATCATTGCTTTAAAGTTCGTTTATTTTATAATGTAAAGGTTTTACGGAATTATTAGTTCATATATATATATATATATGAAAACAGAGAAAAGATGCTGTTTATTTAACAGATGAAATGAAATGAAATGCATTCTTTTTCTCCTTCATGGATCCCTTTTTTGTTTTCCCTGTTTTTATTATGAGGTTATCTACAATTATTTTTCATTAAATAAATAGAAGGTTAAATAAAAAAGGAAAATTCAAAATTAATACTATTTCCTCAAATTGAAGGATGCTATAATAACACACAAAATCAGCATCATTAATACTGTCTATATCCCTTATAATCACTATATTATATATTTATATATATATAGATACATAGATATAGATATATGCTGCATCTCCATTCTTCCTTGGGAACAATATACAATGATGCAATCATTTTCTATTCTCATTCTTCATCTTCTTTCCGTTATCCCATTTGCATTCGGTTTATCAGATGATCAAAATCTTTTACCGGCCTCGACTTTCGTATTCCCAAAGAAGCAAGCTGAAAAGTTCATCAGAGAACTCAACTTGTTTCCTGTAAACGATATCAATATCGTAGAAAATGACGATTTTGCCCCCCAACCAAGAATTGTCGAAAAGAGTTTTCGACTCCCACACCTTAGTGAATCCACCATTCAAGATTTTGGCCATCATGCTGGCTATTACAAACTCCCTCACACCAAAGGTGCCAGGTAAGATTATATGATTCAGTTTCAAGAATTCATTATATTGTTTTTTCTTGATTAAATTAATTTTTTTTACTATTTTTATTGCAGGATGTTTTACTATTTCTTCGAATCGAGAAAAAAAGACATAAACGCCCCTGTGGTTTTATGGCTAACGGGAGGACCGGGGTGCAGTGGCTCGTTGGCTTTGTTTTACGAAAACGGCCCTTTTCACTTAACAAACAACTTGTCACTTGTATGGAATGATTTCGGTTGGGATAAGGTACCCCATAATTTAATTTATCCGTAATCAATTTCTAATATTTAAACACTTTGACATTTAAATAAATAAAATTATATGCGCAGGAATCGAATCTTATATATGTAGACCAGCCAATAGGAACAGGTTTCAGTTATTCTTCAAGCAAGGACGATATTCGGACCAACTCAGAGGAAGCCAGTGTCGATATCTATGACTTCTTGCAGGTACATTGTCTGAATTTTTTTTCTCAAATTTTGAACTTTAATTAATTAATACACAAAAAAAATTACAAAAAAATTGATGATAAAAAATTCCTCAGGCATTTTTCGAAAAGCATCCACATTATGCAAAGAACGACTTTTACATCACCGGAGAATCGTATGCTGGTCATTACATCCCCGTTTTTGCAGCTCAGATTCATCGGAGAAACAAAAATAAAGAAGGGCTCTTCGTAAATCTCAAAGTATGTTTATCTTCAAATGTCATGTTATATATTTATATATTTTTGTCTTAAAGTATAATGCGAAAAGTAATATACGAGCCGTATAAAACAGGGATTAGCTATTGGAAATGGGATGACTAATCCGGAAATCCAGTACAAAGCATACCGTGATTATGCTTTAGACATGAGACTGATCGACCAATCCCAGTACAACAACCTTAACAAGTCCGTTTCAACATGCGAACACGAAACAAAAACATGTGGTAATAACTAATAAGCTATTTCATTATATATATATATATATATATATATATATATATATATATATATATACATTTATATCGTTTCTAGTGTTAACAATATTATATCTTTTTTGCATAACCGGAATTTCGTTTCACAACAGGCACTAACAACGACGTCTTCAATTACATTCTTGCCTCCACCAATGACGTTAACGTAAATAAAGCTCTTTAGACATAGTTTTTTTTTTTTTTTCTTTTTTTTTTCTTATATACAATGTTTAACAAATAAAATATTTTGTTTACAGTACTATGATATACGAAAAAAATGCGAAGGTTCATTGTGCTACGACTTCTCGAATGCAGAGAAGCTCCTAAATCAGATATCGGTTAAAAAAGCTTTGGGTGTTTATGGAGATATACAATTCGTTTCGTGTAGTAGCGTGGTTTACGATGCAATGATGACGGAGTCGATGAAGAATTTCGAAGTGGATATTCCTTCGTTATTACAAGACGGGATCAAGTTATTAGTATATGCTGGCGAATACGATCTTATCTGCAACTGGTTAGGTACATTAGTTAATTAATTTGTGTCGATAATTTAGACATTATTTGTCGAAATGGAACTATTCTTACCGCGTCTTTTTTTTTTTCGAAGGAAACTCGAGATGGGTGGATAACATGGAATGGTTTGGTCGGAAAGAATTTTTGTCGGCTGCTTTTGTTCCGTTTAAGGTTGATGGAGTGGAGGCGGGTTTAAGGAAAAGTTACGGAGATCTTACTTTCTTGAAAGTGTATAATGCTGGTCATCTTGTTCCCATGGATCAACCGAAAGCATCGTTGGAAATGCTAAGGAGATGGATGAAAGGCGAGCCCATGTGAGAGAGAGCAAGAAAAACGAAAGGCGAAATTTTCGTAGTGCTTTGTCATTTTTATTTGTGGTTTATGGATTGACAAGAAGTTTTTATTCATAAACTTGAAAAATTGTTGTGATTCCATGAAGGGTGTTTGGTTTGAAGATTTGGGCTTTGATTCATGTCTAGATCATAGATAAGTTTGAACTAATGTTGCAACTTAAATCTTTAGTCCATACTAATTCCAATTTCGTTAAAAGAAATCGAAAAGTTTTGTTCAAATTCGGAAATTTTCGGACCAGAATTGACGGAATTCGGACTTTTGAAAATTGGAGTGTAAAACATGTTCTAAAATCGGAAATATACGATCCAAACCGATGGAATTCATAATTTTACAAACATGGGAAACACTATGTATAAAAATAGTGTAATATAATCTCGGAACTTCTATACAAAAATTCGTGTCTTTAAACATTGATGTTGGAAGATCTCCATCTTCAAGACCTCCTTCTAAACCCTACTCCATTGGATGCCGAGAAACTCACCTAACGTCGGTGTTACCGTTAGCGAAGATGAATTAATCGACACATGTTTGCTTCCGCTAGATGGGCTTTCTGTCTTTACGAACGAGCTCTTGGCCCGTCGTGGTCCTTGTGACTTATTGGGCCTTGGCCCGTTAATCTTAAATATAGGGGCCTCAACCAATTGGTGCCGAACTAACCCCATCACACATTATTTGCAAGAATCCAAACAATACTAAACTTTCTTTGATAATTGATATATAAATGATTTCCACATTCACGAAAAATAAAATGTCAATTTTGAGGAAGAGGGGTAAAAAGGGAAGAAGGAAAAGAGAAAAAATAAAAAAGGAAAATGGTAATAGTAAATTTTTTACTTTGAATCGGGGATTAAAGTGTCTCTTCACTATAGTCCAAATCAAAAACCTCCTTTGCAATTCGGCCCAGCCCAGTGTGAAACATTAATTTTAGCCCCCAAACGGACCGGAAAATCAATTTCATCGGCAGATCGAACTTGCTCAGTGTTGAAGACAGTGAACTCCGATCAGAGGTAAGCTATCTCTACTACTATGGCTATGGCGGAAATTCCCTCCTATTTTTAAACAATCAGTTTCATTTCATGTGCATTTAGTTTTCATCTGAACGTAGAAAGGAAAAAAAATCACTGAATATTTCATGTGCATGCTCTTCCGTTCTGTAGGGCAGTGAAGATTTGAACATCATTTGAAGTATTGTTGCATTCAAATTACAGAGTTTCGTATGGAGGCGGACAGGTATTTATTGGGAATAATTGTTTATTTATTTATTTATTAAAGTGATGCTGTGAATCCTGTTTTTACAGAAATGTTGAGTAGGGTTGATGTAGAAGATATGCAATTTGTTATCCTCCATAACCTAATTAAGTCCAAATTTGGAAATGAATAATTTCAGAAGGAGGAAATTGTTTGAATTTGGTATCTGAGTCTTTGTATGAGTTCTTCGATTCCGCCTTATAATAAGCATTGATGTGATTTAGAAGAATGGTACTTGCAAACTCGTTTAAATGATTTTCGCCTTCGTACTAGACTACTAGTTCGTGTCTAATATTCGAGAATTTATTAAGTCAAGATTAAAGTTAGTTTACTCATTCGCGCATCCATTACTTCTCGTATTTCAGGCTAAATTCTCCCAACACATCGGCCGTTATATTTGAAGTTCTTGGCCATCAGCTTCACTTTGCACAGGTATATTATGCCAATAAAGTGATGAGTTTGTTTGGGCACCTTGTCTCGATTTATTAATAAAATCAGAAAAAATAAAATAAAAAATATTCCATCCGTTCTTGTTAGCCTCATTCTCAGTGACAAGTCAACTGTGTTTGTGCAGGATCCAAATTCTAAGCACTTAGGCACTACTGTTTGGGATGCATCGATGGTATTTGCCAAATTTCTGGTAAAACTTTTCTTGCACCTTTTTTTTTTCCGGTTTGTTGTCTTAATGTTTTATGATGTTTTAATATAACTGTTATGAGTGGAGAAGATTGCCTTTACACAGGGAGTTGGATGATTGACTCTATGTTACTTTTAAGTAAAATTTTGGTATATATTCACTAGTTATTGCATAGCTAAATTCGGTACCTGGTAATTTAAGAAATATCTTGCTGAATTATATGAATATAAAGCAATTAACAAATTGCTTCAGCACGATGTTTCCATTCCCAATTGAATTCTGAAACCACAGTCAATTTAGTACAAAAGTAATTAGTTTATATTAGCAATGAACTTCCAACCTTATTTACCAATACATAAATCGCCTACATTAAACTTATTTTTCGTCAATTGTGAAGGAAAAAAATTGTAGAAGGGGAAGGTTTTCTCCATCCAAACTGAAAGGAAAACGAGTAATTGAACTTGGGGCAGGCTGTGGGGTAGCTGGATTCGGTAACAATTTTCTTTTCTTATTTTCTTACAAAAACTATTTTAAATTGAATAATTCTGAAAGGTTACGGATTATAGAATAAAATAATGAAGCGTGCATATTGCTTCAGGTATGGCATTGCTAGGGTGCGATGTCGTCACCACCGATCAAACTGAGGTTTTGCCTTTGCTTATGAGAAACGTCGACCGGAATACTTCTAGAATACTCCAGATAGCTCCTGGTTCAGGTATCCACGTCACCCTTTTTTTTGTTGAATAATTAATTTACATTTTCATTATTATTTTCTTTAATGTATCATTTTTTTTCGTGTAGATTCCTTTGGTTCAATGAAGGTGGCAGAGCTGAACTGGGGAAATGCAGATCATATAAGAGCTGTCGAACCACCTTTCGACTATATCATTGGCACTGATGTCGTGAGTTCACTAGTGCTGCTTCTTCAATTAAACAATTTTTTTTTCTTTTTTTTTTCTGACATGATTTATCTAGGTTTATGCAGAGCATCTTCTAGAACCTCTGTTGCAGACAATACTTGCATTATCTGGTCCAAGAACCACCGTTGTGGTACTTCACTTAGAATTTTGTTTGAAATTGTATATTAAAAAATATATAATTGCATTAATTAAAACTTGGTTCTTGCAGTTGGGATATGAACTTCGTTCGACAAATGTCCACGATCAAATGCTCGATTTGTGGAAAAGAAACTTTGAGGTTAAAAGTGTTCCTAAATCAAAGGTTTGAAAATATAAATTATTTATTTTGTTTTGTAGAGTCAAAACATTGATTCTAATTTTGTAATGTAAAATAAAATATTTTGTTTATGATCATTGCAGATGCACAGTGAGTACCAACATCCAAGTATACAGTTATTTATGATGAGACCAAAGCCTTCTTCAGACAGCAGCATTGCCAAGGAGATTGAGGATGTTCCATCGGAGGAAACCGAACAAATATCAGGGGACGATGATGTCAGCAATAAAGATGATCAAATCGAAGAAGAAAGCAGTGTAGTCGAAAATCTCCAGAGTAAAGAGATTAGTGATTGGGAAACGAGAAGATGTGGAGCTATGGCGGCTCGTCTTCTTCGCGATGTAAAGATAACATAAGACATGTTCGGAGGTCTGTATCTTTTCTAATATTAATATACTTTTCTATTTAATTTGGCTTCATATTCACTTGCTAAAAAAACTAGTATTTCATATTAGATTTCTCGAGCATTTATCGTCGACCCCTCTATAGAACTTTTAGTGTATATTTGCTGCACGTGGAAACAAAATTTTGTCTCCACCTAGAAAGACTGCATAGAATAGAGTATATTGCATTTAGCAAAAAACTCCCCATTTTATTAAAATTAGCCTCTTAATTCATTTTTCCGCACATAACCCCCTAAATAGAGAGTTTTTACTTTTTAGGAGGTAGTTTGCTAAAAAAATTTTGAATTATGGGGTTTTATTCCTAATTAAATAACATGAGGGGTTTTCTAGCAATTAGAGAAAACACATGGGTGTTGAATGCAATAAATCCAACATGAGCTTATCGGTTCAAAATAAGAAAGACAAGAAAATGTAAATGCGAAGGTTAATTTATACAAAACTGTAAAAGGAATTACAATAGATACATACATCACTCTTGTACAATTGTGCTAAAACTAAACTATACATAATAAGTGCTGGAATTCCTGCGAGTAGTTTGCTGAAGAACTTCACTCCCATTGAAAATCTTCGAGACTTGTCCGGAAATAGAAAACGGGTCAAAATATATACCCAAATAAGATACCAACGGGTCGGCCCGAGATTCATCAATCACAACCCTCAAACGGCTGGCTTTCACACTAGGAAATAGCAGCAGCCTCTTGTATCCGACAGTGGTGCCGCCAGTCACCACCTCCCATTCTCCTCCCTCATTCAAGAAATCGAGATGAAACTCGATAATCCTCTGGCCCATTTGGATCGGCTCTTGCAATAGCAAGACATTGAAAGTAACAGCCTCTTCGAAATCCAAGTACAATATCCACTCCGAAATTGACCTGTTTGGGGCCCAATAGGAGTAGATTCCTTCTTCTAGAACATTCCGTGGGCCATAACGAGAATCGCCTGTTTTGCCCCTCGTACTATTAGCGGAAATCGTGGCATTTTTTGCTAGATTGAGGGTGAAAATGGAATTTCGTAGATCGGAGAATTCTTTGAGGACTTGAATGTCTTGTTGGGAAATGAGACCCGAAGAATTTGGAGGTACGTTTAGTAGGAGAAGACAGTTTCTTCCGACGGATTTGTAGTATAGATCGAGAAGTGTTAGTGCGGATTTTGGAGATTCCGATGGATGCCAAAACCATCCAGGTCGGATCGAGACATCGCACTCTGCGGGTACCCAATCGTGCCCGAAGGGATCTCCCCCTATGGAATAGCTGTTACAAAATTTCAAGAGTATTAGTGGTGATGGGAATCAAATTAATCTTGAACATTGCAAGCAAATATGCATGCAACATTTTCTATAATTAAATTGTTATTTTTTCGAAAAATTTAACGGATCTGATATCACTTCAGCAAAAAAAATCAATTTTTTTTCGGAAGTGAAAAACTAGTTCTAATTTTGTTCCTAAAAAAATAAAAAATCGGAATTTCGGAATTTGGAATTGAAATTTTGATCCATATAAAAAAAAAAAAACCGGATAGGAATCGGCGGAATTCAGAGTTTTCACTTTTTTTAAGTCACCACTAATATCAAATACACAATAATAACATTGATATTGCAAGTGTGATTCTCGAAAATAATCGGAGTTTTCAGGAATATTTTTTGAAAATTAAAATCGGATTGGAATCTCATGTTCCAAATTCGAATTCAGAATCGAAAAAAATTGTTCCAAATTCGATTTTTTTACTAAGCCACAGAGGAAATCAGAAATCTCGTCCACCCCTAGCTACCGCAATGAAATAAGAGCTCTCAAACGAGACGAGAATAAGCGAACTTACTCAGTATCGGTATCACCGATTTTAGCATCACTCCGATTGAAAAGAGACCAACAAGTGATCCCCGCAACACCACCCTCGTCGCCAACCCACCGTGTGTCGGGACCCGCATCGGAGAATATGACGGCCCGTGGTTGAAGTTGATGAATAACACTAAACCAATCCTCGAAAAAGTACTCCATCGATTTCTCTCCCTCGCCTTTTGCACCATCCAAGAAAACTTCTCTAATCTCACCATATCTGCCCCAACATAAGCAAGAAAATCGAATGAATTGGCGATCTTCACTCTAATATACGAGTTTTCTTATAGCAAGATTCATGAAGAAAAGTACAGATATTGTAACGATCCAAAATTGAAGGGAACAAAGAAACGTAAAAAGGGGTGTAGCACTTCTTTAAGTCAAATAGCATTTTATTTAAATAATAGGTTTAACACTTTTATAAGTTGTCGTAGAGGTAGTAGCACTTTATTTCTAGTAGCACTTTATGAATTAAAATGTATAAATGGGGAATCATCTTCCCCAATACAAGGAGACGAGAAATGAAATGTTTTGATGTATGTTGGTTTTTCTTCCTCTGTATCTTCATCTGAGTTCGTGTGGAGAAGGTTTCGGGTGGTTTTCAATCCCAATCGCCCCCGACCCGATCCGGTTTATCTATCATTAAAAAAGGTCGTTTCAATTGGTATCAGAGCCGTCGATAAAACAACTGAATATCAATAATTACTTTATAGCACCCAAATTACTTTATCTATACAATAACATCCCAAAAAAAATCCAGAATTAGGTAATATACCTAGTGAGCAGCTCAGTCATCTGCCCCAAATAGTACTCATTGTACTCATAAGTCTTGCCGTAACAAGGCTCGTGTCTATCCCACGGCGAGAGATAAATCCCTAATTGCACGCCGGCGATTTTCGCCGCCGCGGCCAGTTCTCTCAACACGTCGCCGGTCCCGTTCCTCCAAGTACTCGACTTCACAGAGTAGTCGGTGTACTCGGACGGCCACAGGCAAAACCCGTCGTGGTGTTTGACGGTGAGGATGACCCGCGAGAACCCCGAGTCTTTGGCCGCGTTGACCCACTGAGTGGCGTTTAACGATGGCGGGTTGAAGACGGACGGGTCGGCGTGACCCGTTCCCCACTCGGAGTCCGTGAATGTGTTGGTGCCGAAGTGGAAAAACATGGCCATTTCCGTGAGCTGCCATGAGATTTGATTCGAGTTTGGGATGGGGAGGATTGGGATCGGCGGCGGCGGCGGCGGATGCGAGCTGGAAAGTGAGGGCTGCGATTTCAGACAAATGGTCGCGATTACGAGGAGGATGATCGGAATGTGTTTGGTGGATCTAGGGTTTGAGAATTTTAGGGGTTTTGTGGAGAATATTCTTCGAGGTTGCTGTTGATTATCAATGGCTGTTTCCTTTACCATGTTTGAAGGGATCAGAACCAGAAGAACAGAAAAAATAAAATCACCTTTTTATTTTTTTATTATTGGTTTTTTTTATATTTATTTTATTGCAGTTTTAAAATTATAGTAATAAAATATTCAATTTTAATGATAAGTGAGTTGTCTTCAAATAGCTGGAATATCTGATTAAATAACATATTGTGCAATTACGTAAATACCCTTGAACTTGAGGAAAATTGCGTAATAAAAACCGTGTGCTTACCACCTTATTAATTACTTCCAGCAAAAAGATTTAAATAAATTACCATATTTATCTTCTTTAACGGCTACTTACCTTATTATTATCTATCTTAAACTTGGGATTGAAGGAACTAATTCCCTATATAAACCAGATCGATTTCACAAAGCGGAGGAGAGCGAAAAAATAAAAGGCAGTTTTAGAGAGCAAGAAGCCTAGGTTTTGGGTAGAGAAGCAGAATTTGTTTACAGACATGGGTGCTGTTCAACATGTATGAATTCT